TTCCGGGGCCTGATTCAGAGGTACGTTTGACATGTGAGCAGCATAAGATGGTGTTTTTCTTTTCTACAAAGAAAGGAGGTTGAAAAAATCATCCCTTTGTCTCTTACAAACCAATTATTGGAAGAAATGTCTATCTGGGTTCAGTTCCAAATGGGGAGAAAGCAGTGGTGGGATTCAAATAATTTAACAACCGGTTCTCTGTCCTAATGACCAGGTGGGTAGGCGGGGCTTAGTGGTCATGTGACTGTGTGGGTGTGGCCAACTAAACATTACTCAGGTTGATGGGCGCTTTGCCTTAGCTGTTACAATGTACTAAGGGTTAACCGGAGAGGCAGTTTCTGTAAGCAGGGCAATAAAGATTAGGCTAGAAACAACACCAGAATGTTTCCTTCCTGCCTCCCTTACAGGATTANGTTACCAGGGCTTACTGTCCCTCTAAAAATCAAATTTCCCTTGAACTGAGCTGAACTCTGGATGGCACCTGAATATTTGTTTATTTTGTTTTCTTGGCAGTAGTACAGAAGTAACTTGCAAAATGCCTTCTGCTAATATATATTATTTCAATTGCTCAATGTAATCAACAGTCTTGGCACTAACTATGTATAACAATACTTTATTTTGGGTTGTTTATTTTGAGAAAGCTTAAATTATAGGTGCAGGCACAACTTTGGTGGGAGAAATACCCTTTAAAAAAAAACCCTAAGGAAATTGCCATTACTGATCTCAATAAGGTTTGAAGAAACTGGCCTTTTTGGAAAGATGACATCTAATATTAAATTGTTGGCTTTGTAAGCAGAAGGAGTGAAGTTCAATCTCCAGGTAAGAATAGGAGGAAAAAATTATTCTGCACTCCCAGAGCACAGGTCAGCAACCCACAGCTCTGGAGCTGCATGTGGCTCTTTCATCCTTCTGTTGTGGCTCCCTGTCGGCAGTTGGCACCCCAATATTAAGAGGAGCTTCCGGTTGGGTGGGGGGAAGCACAGTGTGCCAGGAGGAGACTCTATGGCAAGGAGTGGGTTTTCTGGTTGGCTCCACAATTGATAGGGCTTTCAGGTAGGCCAGGTAAAGGAAAAAGGATGCCACACTAGGAGGAGACACTATGGTGAGGGAACTGGACTTCCGGTCAGCTCCAGAATTGAACGGGGAGCTTCCTGTTAGGACTTTGTGGCTCCTGATGTTTTCTTTTCTGTGGGAAACGGGTCCAAATGGCTCTTTGAGTGTTTAAAGTTGCTGATCCCCGTCCTAAAGAGTGACTTCCAATCCGTTTGCATGGCAAGGTTCAAGATGGACGTGTGGTTAGACACACACCGCTCCCCCATGCGTGACCTCAGCTCTTAACATGTTTTGAAAATAATCCTTTTAGGTTTGTTGAAAACAAGCTTCATCCTTGGCACCATCCAGTTGTAACTGTAGTAACTTTTGTTGCTACATCAATCCCATTTGATAAAGTATAGCTGCACTACCTACTTCTGCATCCTGGGTCTGTATCCTCTCTCCTTGTGCTATTCTATTTACTAATCAGTGGAATCGATTTTTGAGTTTATACCTCATTCACTTGTGAAGATTGGATTGGTTTTGCATCTCAACTTGGGTTATATCTTGTGATGGTTCTATATCTTTTTTTAAAAAACACATTTAGAATCAGTTATCTAGACATGATATATCTGGATTATCTAAATATATAAATGGGGCAAATATCAGGTGAAGCTGTAACTTGCTAGAATTCTCCTGCACAACAACAACAATATTTTTTTAAAAAAAGCAACTGTAAAGTATCGTGTCTTCCCGAAAATAAGACAGGGTGTTATTTTCTTTTGATCCCCTGAAATAAGCACTGGCCTTATTTTGGGGGAGGTCTTATTATTTTTAAGCTGCAGGAGGCAACAGGTGTGGTCACCCCATGGCTGCTGCTGTATTGCAATATTTTCAGGGAGGGATTATTTTCAGGGGAAGGCTTATATTAGTGCATGCCGAGGTGCCGCAGTGGTTAGAGTGCAGTACTGCAGGCCACTTCAGCTGACTGNTCTTCTTCTTCTTCTTCTTCTTCTTCTTCTTCTTCTTCTTCTTCTGCCATATCCATCATCAGATGTTGGCGATCATGTTGGCAATCCTATTTTTGTCAACAGCCTCACAAAATGTGATGCTGAGTTTTGTTCAAACCTGTCTCTTAGATTTTGAAACCACAATGTTCTTCTTCTGCCTGGACCTTGTTGGCTTTCAATCTTTCCCTGGAGGATTAAGCAAAATGTGCCGTATTTTTCTGGGTGTCGCATCACATGTCCAAAATATTCTTTCACTTTTTAATGGCTTTGATGATTTCCCTTTGCTTTCTCAGGCAGCTTATTACCTCTTCATTTCTGATTTTGTCAACTGAACTTATACGTAATAGCCACCTGTAAATCCATATTTCAAATGATTCTAGTTTCTGTCAGAAACCAACTCTCTACTTTGTACAGCAGGTTAGAAAAGATGTAACATCTGACAAGCCTGATTTTCAGTCTTAGGCTTATGCTGTGACTGCAGAAGACCTTTTCCATTTTGAAAAATTCTGTTTGAGCTTTCTCTATCCTTGTCTTTACTTCACCGACCATGTCCCAGCTTTCATGTAAATTGAAAACGAGGTACATGATCCTTTCAACTTTCTCTAGTGGTATTCCTTCCAAATTTATCACTGGTAAGTTAATGGGTTGTTTGCTGACGACAATGATCTTGGTTTTTGAGGTGTTAAGCTTCAAGCTGTATTTTTCAGATATTTCTGAGACTCTCTTGATGAGGAACTGAAGGTCTTCATGCTTACTGGTAAGCAGAACTGTATCATCAGCATATCTTAAATTGTTGCTCTGAACACCATTTATTTTGAGGCCAGCGCATCAATGTGTTCCATTGCTTTGTTGAAATTCCCCAGCCAGTCAGAATTCTGGGAGTTGAAATCCACATGTGTTAAAGTTAACAAATATACTGGTTACTGATAGACTTTTTGTAACTAATAATGAGGTACTATTTAAGATATTCGAGCTTGCTGAACTTACCAAGCAGAGGTGGGTTCCTACCAGTTCACACCTATTCGGTAGAACCGGTTCGTCAAATCTACTGAACCGGTTAGAAGAGGTTCCACCAGNACTGGTGGAACCTCTTCTAACCGGTTCGGTAGATTTGACGAACCGGTTCTACCGAATAGGTGCGAACTGGTAGGAACCCACCTCTGCTCTGGACCCACTCTCATGTTTTAATGTCCGAAATACAGCGTGGATTCCAGGCAGGTGAGCAGTATCCAAATATAGGTCTTTGGCCCTTTTTCCCTCCTGATCGGTCAATTCAAGGACACGGCAGGTAAAAATAAATTGCATTAAAACACCTTTATAATCCCATGCAAATTCTCCCAGGGCTTTGCAGAGTTCACGACATAAATTACGTTTTTTTGCCCAGTTAATTTCGCTTTGGCGCCATCTAAAGGCGACTCTCCTCGTTACTATTTTAAAAGAACGGCGATCCGTTTCCAAGAATATTTTGCCCATTGTAATATAATGAAGCACGTTCTGATGGATTGGGAACAGCTTATGATCTCTTTGTTCTGTCTGCAACACATTCATTCAGGGCTCGAGCTATTTTGTAGCATCTTACAACCCTCCTTGGAACAAAACAAAAAATTGATGCTGTAATAAAATTGCCTTGACTTTCAGGCACTGTACGGGGAGATCTTTGGTTAATGGGTTAAGATCTTGTCCAAAATCTGGATATTGTTGCTAACAGAGAAATGCTGACATTTTTTGAATGGCTAGAAATAACCTGGGTATTTATCTAAAAGTAAAGGAATGACTCGCACATGTGCTAGTCATTCCTGACTCTAAGGGGCGGTGCTCATCTCCGTTTCAAAGCCAAAGAGCCAGCGCTGTCTGAAGATGTCTCCGTGGTCATGTGGCTGGCATGACTCAACGCCAAAGGCGCACGGAACGCTGTTCCCTTCCCACCAAAGGTGGTTCCTATTTTTCTACTTCCATTTTTTAAATGTGTTTTCAAACTGCTAGGTTGGCAGAAGCTGGGACTAGTAACGGGGGCTCACTCCGTTATGCAGCGCTAGGGATTCAAACCGTCAATCTGCCGATTTTCTGATCAACAAGCTCAACATCTTAGCCACTGAGCCACACTGTCTCTATTAGGTATTTATCTACAGGGCTTCAAAACAGTGTGGAGGCCCTTACAGAATACACAAAAGGCAACACTTACTTGTAGTAGAGTTTCACACTCAACACATCCCAACTCAACTTCAAAGCCAACTCCTGATTACTTCATGGACACAACTACATCACAAGAAAAATATAGAAGTTTTCTTCTGAGATATTTCCTAGGACAAGATTCTTCTTCTTCTTCTTCTTCTTCTTCTTCTTCTTCTTCTTCTTCTTCTTCTTCTTCTTCTTCTTCTTCTTCTTCTTCTTCTTCTTCTT